TTCTGGTAGTGATATAGAGTAAAATACATGTGCTTACGCAGAGTCCACTTATTTTGTAATCTGTTAACAATTGCGTTTACCATTTATTTTCCTAACAAACTAATCTTTGATGAACTTTTAGTATACTACCGTAGTATACAATATATCGATATAAAACAAAAAGACTAAAATACCCACATTTTATTAAATCCCAATGCAATCATTTCATATCTTATCTACTTTCAAAACTCCAATGTAATGATTACTTAGATATGAACTTACTTCGGGACAAATGAGAAAGAAAAAAGAGAGTAAATTTTAGAAAACTGCAACTTTAGTGACAAAACTATCAAACTATCAGTTTGCTACAACATTAGCGACATGTTTCAGTTTGCTACAACGATAGCGTGGGGAATGATCATAAAACTGTAACTTTTACGTTATATGTTGATACAGTTGTCACCTATATGTACTGTAGCAGCATATAACGTAAAAGTTGTAGTTTTATGATAATTTCCCACGCTATCGTTGCAGCAAACTGAAACATGTCACTAATGTTGCAGCAAATATTATTATGTCACAAGTTAACTCAGAACTGACACTACTACAAAACCCCTCATGGATCTAGATGTAGGCTCATATGTGCCGGTTTATTTAAAACCGGCACCTATGGACCTTTTTTATACCACCAGAGGATAAAAAAAAACAAAATCGGCACCTTTGGGAATTATATGTGTATCCTTGTAGTGGAAAGACCGGCACCATTATAGGTACCAGTTAATTAAAAGCCGGCACCTACAAAATTTTATAAGTACCTTTTTTTAAAAAAAAAACAGGTACCAAAAAAATGAGCCACCTTTTTAGCCGCCTTCCCCCCACCCCCCACCCCATGTTTCCATCCCTCTCTCATCCTCCTCTCGTCACTAGCGGAGGAGAAGGTGTTGGCGGTGCGGCGAACGGAGGGGTCATTGATGGGGGACCTATAGGCATTGGCAGCACCAGGTGTGAGGCCCATCGAGACCTCCTCCTCCTTGCCCAACGCCCTGCCACCAAAGCTGCTCTCGCTCCCTCCTAGCACCACTGCCGTTGCGCTCTCCCCTCTAGGCCGTCCCGCCACGCGCCATCGGCCATGGAGATGGAGAGGCAAGAAGGTCGGTGTCGTCGTCGGCACCTTCTCTACCGCCATGGTGGTCCAGGCACACGCGCCTCTACTCATCCTGCCCCTTCCTCCTCGCCCTCTCTCGTCTATCTCAGAGAGATCTTGGATGACCGGGTGGCGGTGCCTCCCTGAGACCCATTTTTTAAATTTTCTTTTGAAGATTATATGTGTCGGTTCTATGGATAGAAAAAAAAACCTATAATCTCTATAGGTGTCGGTTGCCGGTTCTAAAATCGGCACCTGTGCCGGTTTACCTGAGTATGGTTAAAATTTAAATATGATTTAGGATAGGTCTGTGCCTAAAAAAATGCTTTTGCAAACTGAGAAGTTTCAAATACTAGTTTTAGACAAAAATAAACCTAGTAGGCCATTCCTTTTTTTTCCCCTTATGGATTATATCCATGTCCTTGTGCATTGCTGAGTACGAGTGTCTTACTCACTCTTTCTTTCTGTGGCTCAGAAAGTGAGATCCGTTGAAGGTAAAGGGCTTCGCTAACTGCTTGTGTGTTCAGCCTCCTTACTCTTTCATTTTTATTTTCTTTCTTTTTAATCTATAAGGGCCATCGACCATGTATTATGGTAGTACCGTACCTTTTTACGCTTTTGCCTATATGGCTTTGTAATAAATCATTTGATATTGTACCATGCCTCTTGGGACTTGGAATTATGCAATAAAATACTTGAAAATATGGTTGCTTATTTCCGGGTGTTACAACCCTTGCTTCCTTCTATCTCCGACCGCCTCTCACTCCCCTCCCCCTCTGGTTGCTTTCCTCCCCTCACCGCCTCTTTGGCCACCTCTCCCCTCTGGTTCCATCGGTGAGTAGAGGTCAGGGAGAGGACGGCAACAGCGAATGATGCGGTGGCAAGGGGCCAGATTTGACGGTCCCCGAGCTCAGGACCACCCGATCCAATGGTCCCTAGCTTCGGAGCCGTCAAATTTGGTTCCCAGCCTTGCCGCCTCCAATCCCCTAGGCTCGATGACGACGGCCATTCTCGATGCCAGTGAGCGACGATGGTGATTACAGCCACAGCTCGAGAAGACAATGGAGGTGGCAGCGGCTCCGTGGGAATGATGACAATGACAATGGTTCCATGGGAACCACGACGACGGTGGTGACCCCCTTCTCCGCCGAATGGTGGCAGCCATCTATTTCCTGGGGACGACGGTGGTGCGTGGCAGTAGAGCTGCTGTGACAAACCAAGTATTGTTGTGAGTTCTCACTGGTGGAGAAACCCTTTTTACTCCCGGTTGGTAAGCCCCATATAGTCCCAGTTTTCCAACCGGGAGTAAAAATTCAGAACTAAAGATCGCTATCTTTAGTCCCGGTTTAAATACCCGGGACTAAAGATCGATATTTAGTACCGGTTGATGTTACCAACCGGGACTGAAGATGTGGTCCCGGCTGGAGGTTTTTTTTTTCTTTTTTTTCTTCTCTCTTTCTTTTTCACTGTTCTTTTGCTTTTTGCCCAAATCATCTCGGATCAAACATTCACAGCAAATCATTCACAGCAATATAGTTCATCCCAAATCATTTACAGCAATAGTTCATCCCAAATCATTCACACAATAGTTCATCCCCAAATCATTCACACAATAGTTCATCCCCAAATCATTCACAACAACAACACAGATCGAATCACACATTCAATATGGATCGAATCATTCAACACAGATCAAATCACACATCAAGGAAAAAAGAAAAAAAAATCCACGCAACAGCGCCGGCCTCCACCGCCTGCCGCCGCATTGGTCTATGCACTGGCCGCCACCGGGCGTGGCCCTTCGTGCGAGGCTGCCATCCGGCCGTCTCCCCCTTCGGATCCTGCGGCGGCCGGCCGCCTCCCCTCCCGGATCCACCGCCGCACGAGGGCCCCGCCGCCGCCGCCGCCTGGCCACCTGAGAATGGGGAGGAGAGGGGAGGAAGAGAATGAGGAGAGGAGGAAGAGGAAGAGATGGGGGTGAAGAGGAGGAGGAGATAAGGTGAGGGAGGAGGAGATAGAACTTATTAACTGATCTGTCTCCTCGATCTCGCGCACGCCTCGTCCTATCCGCCGCGCATGCCGATCTTTTTTCCCGGTTGGTAACACCAACCGGGACTAGAAATAGATCTTTAGTTTTAGTTGTTGTTACCAACCAGGAATAAAGATAATAGAGGGGGTCTGACACTGCCTATTAATTGTTCTTTGAACCGGGTTGGTGTTCTAACCAGAACTAAAGATAAAAAAGTAGCTCTAACCTTTTGAACCGGGACTAAAGATAATCTTTAGTCTCGGTTTTTATTGCAACCGGAACTATTGTAGAATTTGGTCGACTGATGAAAGATGGTTTCTCCAGTAGTATCTCTTTCTATTCTCCCTTCTCTCACTCATATCTGGATGGTTAGGTGGCCGGGCAGGTTAGCTGGCTATGGGCCTGCAGGACTCGGGCAGCGGTGGACATAGGAGGGGGCGCTCTCGTAATCGATGGTGGACATAGGAGGTGGCGGACATGAATTTGTGGATGTAAATTGGGTAATAAATATTTATGTGGATTTGAACTAGTTGTATTTGTACTTTATTGTACGTGAATCTGTTTATTCTTTTTGAGCCAATCTGAATGAATTTGAGCATGTGAGTGCAGCTTGTGTCGGAATATCCAATTAAATTGCATTTTATCTTATTTCCCCCCCAAATGCTCATTACTGCCAGTTTCCAATTGGATTCATAGAGATACTTAGGGCATGTTCAATGGTAGAGATGGGTATGGTTTCTTAAACAATAAAAGATTATTTAGAGACCGTGCCTTTATAACAGTTGAGACGATAAAAGCTCTAATCATTAACTCAAAAATATTCCTTTTGTTAGTATTTTTTTCCATTTTTCTACCCTCATGCAACCATATTTCCATATTATAGTGATTAAGAGTCCATATTATAGTGATTAAGAATCGTTGTTAAGCCGTTGTTACGCATAACAACGAAGTTTTGTCTCTCCTCTTCCTCTTTCTTCCATGTCAACAAGTATTTCTAATTAGCAACGCTAAGAGACCACTATTGACAACCATTGTAGATGCCCTTAAGGGCATATTTGTTTCTAATTAAGATAATAAATCCTTTTTTAGTTTGCAATAATTAAACTTCAACTAATCCTGCACTAATGATTTTCTTGTTTTATGTGTTCTATCTTCATCTTCATATTCAGTAGCAACGAACACTATATTATTGTTGATTCAGCAAAGGCAAAGCATGTATAGTAGCCGGCCATCACTACCACTTGTGTCATAGTTGTTTGAAAACCAATAGTCATGAACCGGTAGGCATATAGGCATTTCTGTACTGGTGAAAGTGGGTGATTTTTTTTTTTTGCAGACGGGCTACTTTGTCGCTAGCGGCTGGCTTTAAGTAGTTGTCACGGATAGTATGCCTTATCACAGGCAGCTACCAATGCCGCTGATACATTTTCACAGGCGATTGGCTGTCTATGACAATAAATTTATAGAGGCGGCTTGTGCCTCCATCCTTGATCCAAATTTATGATAGGCGGATCTAGTTTTAGCTGGCCGTCTGTACATAGTAAGAGGAGTGTAAGAAAAACAAATCAAAACGGAGTCAGTTATACTAATTAAAGCACCGTGGTATTCCATGTTTTTTTTTATCAACAGATGAGACAATAATCCTCCTACCTCATTTCTCAAAAATGAAAATTAACAATCGACGTCAACGGTTAAGCCTTAACGGTTGGAACTTCTCAGTCAACTAATCAAATTGTATAGTAGTTGGCAGTAAAGTACTGAACAGGTATACTTGTCGGCACCTTTCTAGTCCTGTGGCAGCTGCGTCTATATATAGCCATTTCGTAACCTAACAAAAGAGCACGAGAAGGTCTAATTAAACCATAAAAGCTGCTGCTTAATTAGCCATAGCCATGTTGACGACGTTCGTCTACCATGCTCTAGGCTCGTTCTCCTGTGTTTGCCTCCTTTGTTTTGCCAGCTCGTTGGTGAGTGTAGCTGACGCAGGCGGCGCACCCGTGCTGCAAGCGTTGGAGTGCACCTCGACGGCCGCCGGCAACTACACGCAGGATGGCGCGTACGCCGCCAACCTTGGCCGCTTGCTCGCCATGCTCCCGAACGAGACCGTGTCAAAGAACGGTGGCTTCTTCAACGGCACGGTCGGCAACGGCACGGCCACCGTGTACGGCCTCGCCATGTGCGCCGCCGACTTCAGCCGCGCCGACTGCATGGACTGCCTCGTCGCCGCTGGGATCAGCGCGGGAGGCGTCGTGAAACGTTGCCCCGGCAGCACCACGGTCTCCGCCATGTTCGACCAGTGCCTCCTCCGCTACTCCGACAGTAGCTTCTTCGGCACAGCCCATATCAGTACGCAACTACGCATAGTATATTTTCAGTAATTTTATCATATTTAAGAAGTGATCGGGGGTAGAGTATAAAATATAATAACCTCGAGGTATCAAAATTTTAATATAAACTTTTTAGATAACCTGAGATATTTTCTCAAGTATTGTAAAATTTTTTTTTGTATATTATACAACTATTGCATGCCGCCGTTGAACGATTATACACGTTATTATGCATGTATATATGCAGATATAACATACGTTTCGGACGGGGAGATCTTGACCGGCAGGCGGCGAGCTCGCCGGCGCGGTTCGCGGTGAGCGAGACGAACCCGTACACGCTGGCGCAGTGTGTTAGACTTAATCTTGTCGTTTGTGTTTTTTCATCCTATCAAGTCGTGTTTAGCTAATTAGTGGTTTGTGTCCATGTTAATCTTTCCATGTGTGTGTACTGAGCAGTGAGCAGGTCAATAGTATGTGTGATTTAGTTTGATCAGGGAGGCCATGATCTGCATGCAAGTGAAGCATGGATTCTTGGCGAGAAGACTGGATCAGATGGCTCATGCATGTGTTGGTTAGTGATTTAGTGGTGCTCTGCATGCAGCGAGTTGTGCCTTGCATGTGGGATGCATGCAGCGAGTTGTGCCTTGCATGTAGGAAGGTGATTAGAGGATAATCCGCGGGAGGTGCTTGCCGGTTTGTGCGGCAAGACGTGGCTTAACCTGTGCGTGTGTGTGGTCTATTTAACCAATGTAATCAGCATTTGTTAAAGTGTGCCAAAAGTGAAGTGAAAAACAAGTGTTTGTGCTGTGCGCGCTGGTGTGCAGCGTGGAAATTCCTTGCGTACTGTTCATCTTCTTCCTCCGTCAGTTCATCATCTGTGTGTGTGTGTTTCATCAAGTGAGAAAGAGAGAGGTGTGTGTGCGAGTGAGTGTTTGGGCTGACACAGTGCACCAGGGACCTGCCGCCCGACGCGTGCAAGGGCTGCCTGGACGCCCTGGCGGCCAACGTCTCGGCCACGTTCCCGGCGACGGCGCGCGGCGAGCGCAAGAGCTACAGCTGCCGCGTCCGGTACGACGTCAACACCAGTTTCATGGTGGTGCCCTTCAATCTGAGCACTGGCAGTGCGGGTACACCGACGTCGTCGCTGGCAGGTCCTGGATCCGTGAATTCTGCCAAGAACAACGGTCAGTACGATGTTACTTTCCTGCTCGGCGATGACTTTTGGAATAAGTTTAAATATTTGTATTATTTAAAAATTTTATATAAATATACTATAGTATAAGTCAACTAAAAGTTTCTTGATAAAATAAGTCAAAACAAAATAAATAAATATTTTTAAAAATAAGATGAATGACAAAACATCATGATAAAAATCAACCGTTTTATCAAAAAAAACGGAGCGAGTATACAGAATGAATATGTTGTAATATGAAAGTAAATAAGAAGTAGTTGGTAAAAAATATATAAAAGGGGAAAAGTCTAAATACCCCCCCCTAAATTTAGATAGAAGTCCGTGTAGCACCCTGAACTTTAAAACCGGACATCCAATTCCAACCCCGGCCCTGAACCTTGCAAAATCGTTCATATTACCGCTAAGGTGGTTTTGTATAGTAGTTTTTCTGTAATTTGTATATAATTTGGACGAGTTTGAACACATGACATACACATTAGACATATATATTAAAACCTTCATTTAAATTTTCTTTTAATCACTTGTTAGCTCTCACTTATAAACAAGTCTCAACATAGTAGTATGGTATCTCCGTATAAGTATGAATTGATTACTTACAATTGATGATACGCAGATATGTTATATTAGTTATTTAAAATTGTTCGTTTAAGTTTCTAAAATAAGCAAAACCACCATCTAAAACCATCTTAGTGGGTAATATGAGCGGTTTTACAAAGTTCAGGAGATTAGATGTCCAGTTTTAAAGTTTCGGGTGCTATATGGATTTTCATCCAAAGTTTAGAAGGGTATTTGGACTTTTTCCTAAAATTCACTATAGCCTTATTTTAGAAGAGTATAAGTGTGACAAATTTAAGCTAAAAATATTTCAACTGGTTTTCATATATAAATATCAGGAAAAAAATTCTATGCGGCAGCGCCGCACCAAGCTTCTCGTGCGGCACACCGCGCGAACTGCCGACGCGTGTCTATCGCAATTTTCGTTGGAGCCGAGCCGATGCCTTTCGCGACGAGTCCAAGCCGCAGGCCCACACCTTGAAGTCGAATCGTCGCTCTCATCTGCTATGGCGATGACGGTGGCGGCGGCTGCTGCTGCTTCTGAAACGGCGGCGGCGCACCGTAAGGGTTCCCCTTGCTGCTCTCCTCAGACTTGAGTCCCCCCTACAGCGGGCGATGGCGCGTCGGCGCAAGGCCGCGAGGCAGCAGCCGATAGGCAGGTGGACAGCGGAGCGTCAGTGCGGCTGCGCGAGCCGCGAGTAGCAGGCCGGCGGCAGCGTGGCACCTCGGGAGCACATGAGTAGGAGCAGCGGTGCACCAGGAGTCCGTAAAAAATAGAATATGATATAGTGATAGTAGAAAAAGATTAAAAAAAGGAGCAATGATATAAAGATTAGAAATATATGAAATTCATCATTTCCATTGTGAAGAATAAAGTAGAGACCAAATTTATAAATAATGAATGGCTTATGCATACTCACTACACGTATGCACGTCACATCCTAATCAACATCACTTCGTAAAATTAACATTACCAAGTTATTTTGGTCCTCGTTCGCACGAACTAGAAAGGTTCGTGTACTGAAATGAGCATTTTACAAGTTTATGTACTAATTAAATTACACCCACCTAACAAGTTTGTGTACCACCAATGTAATTTACTCTTTTACTTAATTTCAGCTCTTTTTTTCTTTATGTGCTTACTATATCCTACTTATGTAAACATGTTTCCATCTTGCCAAGCCCCTCTTCCAACTTGTGAATTAATTACTTTTAATCTTTATACAGTGTGTATTACAAACTTACATTGTAATTATTAAAATTACAATGTAATTTTTTCAAGTTACAGTGAGCACCGTAAATACAGTCCCAAAACTAATGCTAGGAAGGATGTCTATCTCTCGTACGTCCTAAGATCTGGGCAAAATAACTTGAGTCAACAAGCTTTTTTTTTATTCAAACCTTGCAGTTATTGCTTTTTTAATTGAACTTTCAAGCTAATTAAAACGAGGTAATTTTTCATCTAGTTCTTATACAACATATTCTATTAAAATTCTAATAATTAATGACAATAGTTCAAGCTGCACAACCATAAATAAATACAAAATTCCCTACATGCCCCCAAAAATTTCATGCTATCGCTTCTACACCCCGAGATATGCTTGATCTTATGTACCCCAGATTTCTTGTTTTAATCCTTTACATGTCCATTCCAGTAATTGACCAAGAGTTGACCACTTGTTTCATTAAAATGATTAAAAGTGAGAAATTTTTTAAGTGGGAATTGTTTGAGTTATGGAAAATAGTAAGGGGCAAATCACCGAAATCATTTATATTTCAAAATTTTGTGGAACTTTGCATCAAATTTGAAAATTAACTTTTGAATGAGTATTCGGTTTGAAAAATGTGAATTTTGACAATCATGTATTCACCTTCGATTACTATTATCATCTGATGCAAAATTTGTCAACTTTTTTTGAATACTTAAACACCACTTTTTAAATTAATTAAAAGTTTCAAAAAAAATAGTCAATGTATATTTCATACACTAATAATTTTTACCGTTCAACATCTGTCACTGTGTGGTATAACCTCGGAGCAATAAGGATGTTTTATGAATATTTAATGTTCCATTGACGACAACTGATAATCAATATGGTATCAGAATAATAGTTTTTGAGTTTGAATCTTGGCTGGCACACAACTAAAAAAAATTACATCCCATTTTTATTCCATGCAAGAGGCCAGCTAAGGGAGGCTCCGTGTGATTGGAAGTGTTTGTTGTTTTCTTATCAGCTTGAGATTTTTGTCAAATATGGTTGATGCATGTAACATAATACTATATGTACATTCTGTTAAATTTCAATTTATGACAATAATTCATGTTGCACCCACACAAAGTATTTCATTATTCCTGACCTCTGGATAAGATTTGGAATTTTAATGTACTGTTTTAATTACAGGGCCGGTGATGATTGGATCCATTGTTGCTGCAGTCGTTTTTGTGGTCCTCGTTTCAGTTGTTGTTTGGCTTTGCGTCAGGCATAGAGCCATCAAGAAGGTTGCACTGGGTATGTACAGTTCTTATCGTTCTACCGAACTAGCACATATAGACTACAGATATACTCGTTATACTACAGATAAAAAACACAAGCTGGAAACAGGGGACGGCCCCCTCCAACAATTTTTTCCACAGATAATCATTTAACTAACTAGATAATTAACTTAAGTAATAGTGTATTAGGCCCCTTTCCAAACACCCTTGGGGCCATTGCCTGGAAACATAGAATGGTCACACGATATATATGATGCATCTATTTGTTGCAGCTGGTCCAAGATCATACTCCTACGAGGAATTGTACACTGCAACAAATGGTTTTTCAGATGAACGAAAGTTGGGCCAGGGTGCGTTTGGTGCTGTGTACCGGGGAGTCCTGTCAGATCCATCTCAGACTCTTGTGGCCGTCAAGAAAATTCAGAGGATGTCTGAAGCAGCGTGGCAGGAATTCGTGGCAGTGATAACCATTGTTACCCAGCTTAAGCATCGGAATATCGTGGACCTGATGGGCTGGTGCGACGACCGTAACAATCTTTGCTTGTCTACGAACTGATGGACCGTAACCTTGATTACCACCTTTACCCTCCACAACGCATGGGGGAAAGTGAAGTTGTGCTAGATTGGAAGAAAATTAAAGGTAATGAAGATCATAGATGCCCTATCTCGGCTGCTATGAAATTATTTTAATTAAGCCTTTTTAAGTTAGTAGAATTAATTCCAGCCTTTGCTTTAAATAAGATGTAACCAATTATTAAAGATAGTGCAGAATAAAGGACTGCTCGCTACAAAATCACATATTTTACTTAAAAAAAGGAAAATTGCTTAGAATAGCACCAATGGATAGAGGTTTTCGATCTACAGCGAGATTATTGTCTTAATTACTCCCATCATTTCCGTTTATTTGTGACCATTTTTCTCCAGCTTAACTATAACAAACATGTACTTTAATCACAGTAGATCTGTAGGACAATATATAGAACTTTAGTTTAATTAATTCTAGATGGCAAACCAAGCACTTATTTAATTCTAGAAGTGATTGATGGGTTGGAGTGGTGGGCATGCTTAGTTCGATTAATATGAACCGATGTTTGTTTTAAAATATATGAGAGTAAAATTAAAAACTGTTTTTTGAGTTAAAAATAGAGTGAGCAATAAGAACAATATATCAAACTATCGTCACTATAAGTTCTATAGTAATATCCTGTTGGCATACATCAGCATGAAACAAGATATTAGGGATATTCTTACCTGCTTCCTCTCTTGTAATGCTAAGGATTTAACAATTTTAGAATGTGTACCCTGGCGCACCATGAATAGGACCGTCTATCTCACACTATAAAGGGTTAACCAAACCAATATTTTTTTATGTTATACCATCACAACACAAAAAACTAACTTGATAGGTGACGACCATGCATTTCACAATTGTTGGGCATAGTGTCCTCACGGAGAACTATGGATAACGTTATTGTTCTCCTCATGGTTTGCTATCACGAAACCACCTGAATTCGTAACATCCCATTCCAGCTGGTACTTCCGTGACGGCGGCTATCAGGGTTAAGTAGTCATATGCCTAATTCATATATTTTTTGGAACCTGTTTTCTGCTTAGGAAGTAGTCATATGCTTAATCCAGTTTTTTTTTTTTTTTTTTTTTGGAACCGCTTTCTTGCTTAGTAAACATATGCTATATATTTGGTGTGTCACAGGTACAATATAATACTCGACATGGCGAATGGTCTCCAGTACCTGCACACCGCGCGTAACGAATGTGTCCTGCATCGCGACATCAAGCCAAGCAACGTGATGCTCGACGAGAACCTCAGCTGCGCGAAGCTGTGCGACTTTGGGCTGGTGAAACAAATCAACCATGACGAAGTGACCCCGGGCCGGCAGACAACCGTGATTGGTACACGGAGCTATCTCGACCCGGAATGCATCAGGACGTCGATAGTAAGCGCGGCTTCAGACGTCCACAGCTTCGGTTTGGTCCTGCTCGAGATCGCGTGTGGCCGGCAGCCGACCATGCTAGCTGCAGCATGGCCACAACAACAAGAACAGCCTCGTCGAGTGGGTACAGGACTCGTTCCGCCACAGGAAATCAGTCGCCGATATGGCAGACGAGAGGCTGAAGGGTGATTTCGATGAGGAGCAGATTGAGCGGGTGATCCGGGTTGGGTTCCTGTGTGTGCTTCCGGAGCCTGACAAGCGGCCGGACATGGCGACGGTGGTGGGGACTACCTGAAAGGAAGGAGCGAGGTGCCTGCAGCAGAGCCATATCCTGCAAGTCCAGCTAGCATTCATGCTGCTAACAAGTATGAATCGTCACCGGCCTCTCTGCTCGTTAGCTGAGACCTTAATGCTAGTCGTGACTAGCATGAACTCAACAGAATGCGACCAGACACAGGTTAACTACATTGGCAAGGTGTTATGTTGTTTTTATTATATATTGATCAGTGTATTTTGTTTTGTATATTTGTATCTTTAAGTTTGATATCAGTACTCTCATTGTTGATTTTGAACGCTCTGACGGTACTATCATTTGAACCTAATAATTCGAAGTGAATTTAGAAGACACAACTGTTTGAGCTACAAAGTCATTCCTGCAACCAATTCCAACCTCTTGGACAATAGAGTCATTTTCTCCACCAATTCTGACTTCTCGGAACAATTTCATGATTTGATTGGTAGAATAAGAAAATAAACGTTGGTTGGTCAGGAAGCTATATATCGTGAAGGTTTTCGCTCCGACATGAAAGCAAATTTTATACGAATAGTCAAACTCGTTAGAGAGAAAAAATTTTAGATATAGTTGTAAATTTTTCATCATCGATACCCACTAGGGTCCCTGCTGATCTCTTGTGGCAGGCAACCATTGGCACTTAAAGCTGTTCCTTCCTCTGTGGGGTATTAATAAACTCAAGGGCGAAGCCACGATAAATAGTCACCGGGGTCCATACTCGTTCCGATCAGAATTTACGTTTTCTACCAAAAACGATAGAAAACCACACAATTTTGACGTCTCCACACGGGGCAAAAGTAGATTCCGAGTGATACTTTGAATGGTTTTCGAGAATTAATTTTTAAAACAGTAAAATTAGACTAAAATTTGATCAAAATTTATCAAAATGTTGCGAAAAATGTCATATCGCTGGTAGGAATCCAACACTAAATCGAAAATATGTCATGTAGCTTGTAACTAATTAGTAAAACCAACTCCTGTTGTAGTAGTGTTACAACAGGAATATAAGACTACATAATACGAGACATAATACATAAATTTTGCGAAAAATGTCATATCGTTGGTTGTCATCTAATGATATAAGACTACGTGATATGAGACAAACTTATTAAAATAAAATCAACTCCTGTTGTGGTAGTGTTACATCTTACTTATTACAGTTTCTATCTATAAAATTATTAAACATGTACATTATTAATCTGTAAAAGACACCAAATGCACCAAAGATTATCAAAACCACTAATTCTTTGTCTTTCATTATGTTGGAAATAAAATGAAATATGATGTCAGGACGTGCGATGCTGATGCAAGACAACCAGGAATATGATGATCCAACCAGGGAATTTGTGGAGTAGTGGCTTCCGGGTTTATTTATGGGCTCAAATATCAATCATTCATGTATATTGAGCCATCGTATAATTATAAGTGCTAGTTCATTTTCTATTTGCTGCTTGCTAGTATCGTTCCTATAGTAACCATTTGAGCTTCGGAACAATCAACAATGTTACCGGGGTCTAGTTTAGCTCTTTACTGATGTCATAGCTGATAAAATAAAGAAGGGTACTAGACGTTGGCAAAAAATCGTCGGGTTCTACTGACCCCGATGGTTAACTGTAGCTTAACCACTGAATAAACTAATGGACAAATCCTGCCTTGCTATTTTTTTTTTCAGGCCACTAAAATCAACTTTGTTTTCAATTATCATTTTTTATACCTTTGATATTCCATATTAGGCCTTTCATTTTTTTTTTCACACACGACACCACTGGGACTCTGCTCTTTCAGTCAAAGAACTTAATTCTGACAGATTTAGGGTGTTAATCAGGTTCAAATTAATTTCAACAGGATTGACAAGGCCAAGCTAAATTTACACCTATCAAACTAGCTATCTCTACAAATGATAAATTTGTCGCATTGACTAGAGAAGTAATCTGATTCTGACATTTGTTGAGAAATGGATTCTTGGCCTCCTTCCTATCAATTGCCAGGTCAATTGATTTCTTATGTTCTCTATCTCTCATCCTCTTGCCTCCCTTTTTTTAATCCTCGGTTGTTTCAGACAAAATCTCTTCGGGTTCTTGGGAGTCAAAACACATCCTCCCTCACATCTAAATGTAGCTTCTCCTGACTCACATCTAATTGCAGCTTGTTCCCGTCTTCCATTGTCAGGTCATTGTTTTGACTTAACTCCTCTGAATCATGTACAACATGGGAAACCAAAACCTTCGGGGTCTACCTGCTTGTGCTTGTTCATAGCCTGTTATTTGTTCTGCTATCACTATTTTGTCAAGGACCTATTAACGGTCCTTAATCATAATATCTGACCATCAATACCTACATATAATGAAGTAAAATATAGTATCCAACTTAGTGGTAGGGATTATTACTAATCATTTCCACTAGTGTTGGTGAAATATGTGTATGCAGGTATATTAAGGAGAAAACACACCCGTCATACGATAAAATACACCTCTGGACAATCTGGACGCATTTACACGGATTGAAGGGCCTATATGTCAATCAAAACCACTTAGAATTGGGCCAAATCATAGCACATGATGTTGGGGGTCCATTAAGCAACCTCCCGGCCGAAAGAGAGGCCGGGGGAAGGGTTTTTGGGTCCGGTCGAACCCATCCTGAGGCCGTTAATCGCCATATTCCACATGTACGCTCCTGATTTCTTCCCAATGACGGTTGGAGGGCATTTAGGACATTTCCCATAGCTATAATTGTCATTTGGAGGCTATAAAAGGAGGAGCTCACTTCATTCCAACACACACAACTTTGAGCTGAATTACAAGAGGCTCTATTGTATCTTTTGTACATTAATAAATAGGTAGAGGGTGAGGGGAAGCTCTAGAGGAGTGCCCGGAAGTTTGACGCTCTCTCCGACTTCTACCTTGACGAGTGTAGCTTTCTAGGAGGAATTTTGGAGGAGTACCAGAGCTGTCGGTACACTCTGCTCTGAGTTCGGAGAAACATCTTCTATTAAGTAAGTATTCAGGATCATTTCTTATGTTATTTAATTACTTAGTCTAAGTAAGATAGATTTTCATGTTTGCGGATTCATCGTTTAGTATTCATACTAAGTGCTCTAGTATTAGGACTCTGGATAAAGAAAGAAATTCCTGCGCAAGTATTAGAGTAGTAATTAATAACTTAAACGTGATGTATAGGTTAGAGATTACCTTTGTTCGTTGTGTATCCTAGATTTGTCAAAGGTAGACAGCATGTGGTTACTAGGATGGGATTCAGGGCTGACACCACTGGTTGCCTCCGAGCGGCCACCGCTCCTCCCGCCGCGCGTCGCTGATGCCGCCGACGCCGCCGTACGCTGCTCCTCCAGCCGTCGCCCGAGCGAGGTAGAGAGCAGAGAGAGAGCGGAGAGAACGAGAGAGATCGAGAGGAGACGAGGGAGTTCGAAAGAGCGAGTGTACCTTATCTCCTCAACGCGTCGTGGTGGGGCCCACCGGCTCGGCTCAATCCGTAGGTGTTATTTTTTAGAAAAAAAGGCACTATAATTTATTATAGGTGCTGGTTTTTAATATTAAAGGTTCCTTTTAAAAAAAACGACACAAAATAAATAGGTGTCAGTTTTTATTTAGAACCGATACCTATAATTACTTTATGGTGCTGGTATTTTGTGATTTCAACCCGCGGAGGTGGAAAAATGCCTATACGTGCCGCTTTAACTACTTCCGGCACCTATAGTGCTGATACCTATTTGATGTTTTTGCAGTAGTGTGTACTCTTGTCGCTTGTGTCTTCAGCTGGCAGGTTTGGGCGCTGATTCTACAAAGAGTTGCTTCTCTTCCAACTTGCCAAAGCAAGAAACACATAAGTACTCTGGCTAGTTGGTGGTTGAATTGAAGGCAGTGAAAGTCATGCAGAAGGAGAAGAAAGGGTTTAACTCCCTCATTGTGTATTTTCTCCCATTATTTTTGTCACTTGAAGATTTGGAAGGATACGAATGATTGTGTTGCCAATGGTGCAACCCCTAGTTTAGCAGCAGTTATTCAAACAATGGCTAATGAAGGAAGATGGTGCCTGGGGGCTCAAAGCTCCTAGAGTTGTTAGCTAGGTCGATAGCCTTTGTCTCCTAGAGACTTGTTTGTGGTCGCCTTTTTTCAAACTTTTGTTGTGCAAGACTTGTTGATGTTGAGGGTGAGGGGTTTATTCTAATTCTCTTAAAGTTCTTCTCTCTCTAATTTAAATAAATGATGTGTATATCTTCTGCGCGTTCGAAAAAAATGTGTATAACAAAATAAAATAGAAGAAGGTCTGGGAATGGAGATCCAAGCTTTTCCACAGGGGCAGTAAATTCAGGAAAAGATGTTTCGGACGGTTATAAATCCTCGACCGACATCTCTTTTCATCCATTAGCTTTTCATATGCTGCTTCCAAAGTACATTTGTGTAACTGATGAATATTAATTCAATAGGAGAAACAATATCTTTGGAGACAAAAGTGAGTGTACAAGCACATTTTTTAGTCTAATCACCATACTCGAGCTTAATCATTAATATTTAAAGAATTGTGCACGCCATACTCTCTTAAGGATTTTATAATACACACCAATTGGAGGACTCATGTGTACATGTAGCTGGCCTGTTCTAGAAAATCATTAACGATGCAAAGACAACCAGATCAATATTCCAACATGTAAACAGCCCAGGCGTCCTAAACAATTAATTGCTAGCAACCGGAATATGATCTGCTAGTACAATATTTGCTCAGTACTGAGCAGATTGATCAGATTCTAATATAATAATCGTTTAGATTTGCATGTATGTGGTAGTACGTACAATACGTTTCTATGTCCAAAGTGAATACAGCTCAATCGGTTAGATTTCTTTTAATAGAACTACAAAAAAGTTCAAGCTTTAGACTTAATACGGGTGCTCATATCTACGGCTAAATATCCTCCTAGTGTTAGACGACGTACCCGTTGACAATACGATACTCATGGTGATTTCGCCAATCTTAAAATATTGCTGTCCTATGAAGGTATTCATGTGGGTAGAATGTGCATGTGTATGCTCATAGAATGAGTGCACGCATTGTGAGTGTTTATGTTTCTAATTAATATGTTTCTTTTTAAATAAAGAATATATTTCTCTGTTGCAAAGACATTTCACTTGTCACTTTCTATCAATGTCTGTATGTTACAGCACACGAAACTATCACCGCACCCGCACCACGGCACCAATAACTTATTTAGATTACGATTCCTCTTGTAAAAGAACATTTTCCATAAGTATTGTCCAGATACCATGCTTTCTCTTGTTAATTGTTAATTTGTTATAGTGTTCAACAGAGAAAAGATAAGCAAATTAATCTTCTGCAGATTGTGGCGTATTTAGTTGTACCTGCACCGTCGATTGAAATTGAAATTGAAATTTTTTAACACATACATTTAAACATGACACTGTACAAGTGTACAACACTCTGTCAATCTTATTCATAAGGGAATGCCATTGACAAGCGCAAGGGCGTTGCTGGTGTGCTGCGTCACGCTCGCCACGCCGGCGGCGACCTCCTTCCCGGCCGGCGACGCCGTGGCGGCAGCGCCGGCGTCCTCGAACCCGTCTGAGCACGTCCCTTCGTTCGTCATCGCGGCGCTGAGCCACGTCTTCGCGTTGGAGAGCTGCCACCTCGCCTGCCTGCTCCCGCCGGACGTCGACGTCTCCGTTGAGGCGGCCGTGTCCGCGTCCAGCCGTGTGAGCTCCGCCGACGACCGCTTCGCCAGGTTAGCCGCCGCCGAGATGGTGCTCGCGCAGTCGTGCAGCACGGCGTCCACGCGAGCCGCGCCACCACCGCTGCTGGCCGCGGCTTCCTCCGAGCCGCCGCCGCGGTGGAGGAGCATGTCCTTGACGCGTGCGGAGAAGGCGCGGAGGTGGGCGGCGGCGACGTCGGCCGCGGCGACGGCGAGCTTGACGTGGCTGGTCTGGAACGTGGAGGCGTAGGGGAGGAGGGAGTCGTAGCAGACGTCCGGGTACCGCGTGGTCGCGCAGCGGGCGCGGAGGAACGACGACGACGAGGTGGACTCGGTTTTGGTGGTGGAGCACGGCGCGGCCGCCTCTGCGGCGGTGGCTTGTGTGGCTGAGGCGGCGGCCATGGCGAGTAGTAAGAAGAGGCAGAGGGAAATGGTGCGAGGTGGTGGAGGTGCCATGAGTAGTGGAATTGGTTTGCAGGCACCTTCGTGTCGGAGTTGACGGTTTGACGTGAAAATTATAGTGGAGTCTAATTTAGAGGCTTAAATAGGAGAGCCTCGCTCCGGTGCTTTCTACTTGTAGTAAAAAAAAAATCTGAACCGTTGATCTCATTTGATCGAAGGGTTCAGATCTATTTCTACTACCACCTCACTTAATGGTAGTAGAATTATGGAGGAGTATTTTTGTCCAGATAAAATCATGTACCTGGTTGCTGATGATTCAGCAGTGTCATAGTAATGGAAATCCTGATTTCCCTTTAAAAAAAGAATTATGGAGAGGTATTTTTGTCCGGATAAAATTATTTACGAAGGGGTATAATCGTCAGTTTCTTCTTTCGTTCTGGAGCTGACGCCTACATCTGGAGCCCATGCCGAGAGAACCTCCCTCGCGACTCCTCCCTTCCGCCGCGTCAGCCCACCTCGCCTGCTCCGCCACCCTCGCCCTCGTCGGCCGCCTCCCGACGCACTCGCCTCCGCTGCCTCCAACGTTCATCTAGCTCTCTGAGAGAAATGCACCAGCACATTTACCCGCAGCTGCTCCACTGCTCGATGTCGTCAAAAATCTTGTCGACAATCTACTGAATTGAGCATTTTGCTTTGCATCTTTTCTGACACATTCGAAGCTGGTTGCATATACCATTGAACAGACCAAGGGAGAGCTTGCTGAAGAAGCATGATAGCAGCAAAACCTGACAAACTATTCTTTGATCAACCCTAATTAACTTTCTGTCCCGAGTTTATGTTTGATAGCATATCACTGTCAATGCATTTTGCGACCATCGAACAAGTCTACAGTAAAACGGTTTTGCTATATAAGAGTACATAGGAGTGGGATTTCAATTAAATATATAAGAATGGCAGCTTAGCAGCTTGGGATTTCACTTAAATATACTCCCTCAATTTCTAAATATTTAACGCTGTTGACTTTTTTTTAATATGTTTGACCGTTTGTCTTATTAAAAAATTTAAGTAATTATTAATTATTTTTCTATCATTTGATTCATCGTTAAATATACTTATATATATACATATAGTTTTTACATATTTGACAAAAGTTTTTGAATAAGACGAACGGTCAAATATGTGCTAAAAAATCAACGATGTCAAATATTTAGAAACGGAGGAAGTATAAGAGTGGCAGCTTGGGGGCAAAATATTTACTTCATGCAAGCGATCCAACAGTTCAACTAGCCCTGCAAGTTAAAAGCATGATTCTTCAGATAAGCCCATTCATCTCTGAAACGGAATGACACAGATGCAGAAGAATTCAACACATTGTGACATTTGTTTTTAGATAAAGAGAGTTTTATTGATCTTAAACAATTACATCGAGAGTTTTATTGTGACATACTAGGGTATAAATCCACATCCATATCTGAAACGAATTGCTTCATATCCAGAAGAATTCAGATACATGCTGAGAGTAGGGTCAATTAACCAAACAGACAGAGACAAACAGAAGGATCAGTTACTGTTGAAAACTAAACCAAACAATTGATGATCAGTTGGTCTTCAGTACTAACATGGATTAGTCCATATATCTATGAAACGAACTGCAGCATTTCAGATAAATTTCCAACTAACGTTTTCCCTTCTCTGTTCAGTTCACACCAGAATTCAGGCAAAACGCAACCCATACAAATTCATGAACAGGAAAACATCCCACAGCAGAAGCTCCTGCGTGCACGCCGGTGGGGAAGCGGGTAGACGCCAGCGGAGAAGGGGAACGGAAGGAGAGGGGGCGCCGGAGAGTTGGCGGAAGGGAACGGGATGCACAAGCGCCGCCGGCAGAAGAAGTCGCGGCGCCGGCGGAAGGAGTCACGCTCTCCACCTCCGCTCGATTGCGATAGATGAGGATTCCGAGCGACGCTAACCACGAGACCCACACGGAGAAATAAATTAAGTGTCAAATCGATCTACCCCAAATCTGTCTTAGTACTATACCAATCTACCCTAAAAAATAAACGGTTCAGATTAGTTGTACTGGTAGTATAATACTATGAGTAGAAAGCACCGGAGCATCTCTCCTGTCAGTGACAAGCACAATTATATATATACTCCCTCCGTCCCAAAATATAAGAAGTTTTAGAGTTATAAACGATTATTAAGAAATTAGGTAGAAATGAATGGTGGAGGTTTGTGATTGGTTGAGAAAAAAATGTTGTTGGAGAAATTGTTATATTTTAGGATAAATTCTAAGAGGTAAAAGTCGTTATATTTTTGGACGGAGGAAGTGTTGAATACGCCACTATCTGTTCAATCACGCTTTAGCTAATGTGAGGCTTTAAATGCCCAGATGATACATGTAATTTTTTTCACGTCTTATTGGTGCCGACTCTATAGCGGACTAATATATCTCCCTTTCCAAAGAAAAAAATCTGTACAATCAAAACATAAGTTGATAAAAGAGAGAGAAAGAATTCACTTATATTCCAATACTGTCGTCACGTTGAGGCTTGGGCAGCAATACTATTTTAATTAAACTAGACTCCTGTCTATCGTAAAAAACGAGTATGGATCCATATATTGTGGAATTAGATTGATTGTATTGAGCGTGGTAAAGGCATGAAATGCATACAATGGGTATAGATAAGCATAGACTATATAAACAGATCAATTCACACATAATATTTCTCCGACTATTATATAATTGATCTAACATTCTCTATTGATCCAAGCACGTGTAACACGGATACTTATAAATAAACTGACAAGAGTGCCCAATGATGATATGCCTTATGCCATCGACAAGGTAGCCAAAGCGAAGAACATATAGTAGCTATGTCTGAGAAAACCATGCATAGGGTACTCATCTTTGATGTAGCCAAAGTTGGAGTGCCACTTACGATGCAGCTAAGTCACATGACGCCCAAGAGGAGCCATTGAAGGGTGGCAGACGCACAAGATGCTACCATGCATGGACCAAAGTATGCAACGGCGTGCTTAAGACAAAGAAGAAGGCATGGATACGATCATAGGTGTTGTTGACGGAGGTGACACCAAAACCATAAAGGACGATATGATACACCGAGTTTCCTAGGCTTAGATGCAACTCAAGGAAGATGTGTGTAGCAGTGCTTCTAATATCGAGTGGCAAGGCTGGACACCACCGTGAACCTTGGATCATTTTCAAAGGGACCGCAGCGAAGGTCTGCTAGACGGTCATGGTGTGCATGGCGATGTAGAGAGAGAATTGTCAATGCTACGCGTTGTTTTAGGAGGTAGTCAAAAAAAGGTGATGAGGTATAGCGGACAAAGACGAAGCTGAAGGCCGAACGACCAGGAATGGTAATGTCGGTAGTTATACAAAGGCACTTGGACCACCGGCCTAGAGTGTCAATTTTGGCAGTCTGAAGAAGACGTAGTCACAATGCTTAAAAAAGACGAGAACCCTAATTGGTTGACGATGACAAACATGGATGATGATAAAGTCAATGCATGGATGGCAAAGAAGACAATGAGCACGATGTTTTTGGGGCCCAAGGGCAATACGACCACAACTACGTCAACACAACTCCCCATTGATGTAGTTGTAGGAGGTCCACTAGCAGCGTCGTTGAACATGGACCATGAGCTTGGACACTACGGCCCAAGGTGGCAACACAACAGCAGCCTGGAGGTCGGCATAGAGCACATACTCGTAGCCGCACACTCATGCATTCATGCTATTAAGTCGGCAACATGTGGGGCAAGACATTGATGTTAGAGGAGGGCGTATGAGGTCAATGAGAGGCGGTGATGCAAATCCAATCTTGTTGCGAGAGAGAAAAAAATACAGCAGTTGCAGAGCATTTTTCCTATTGCAGTCCACAATACCAGCGAGTCAATCAACGCTTGTGACCCATATGTGTTCCCATCTATCTCCCTCCACTTCATTCACCAGAAAGAAATTTAGAATGCAGAGGGAACGACTCTAGGGTCAGTAGGATGGACAGGCATATTGGCGGATTTGGCTTGCTACATGATGTGGCGGCAGAGACCGCTATCGGGACCCTCCATCAGCAAGGAGGATAGAGGAGCTTGGTGACAGTGTTGAGCATGGAGGGTGTAGTGCAGAGATAATTGAAGGAAGTACGTACAACAACTGCCATGGAAGCTCCTATGATCGATGGCATGACCTAGAGAAGAGCACCAAGATGTAGTGCGCATGCCTGATGGGTCGACGACAAGGATCTAGATCTACAGTAGTGCAAAGGTCTCCTGGATAGAAGCTTCAGCGTAGGGAGGAAGAAGACTGCTAGAGCTCCGGGTGTAACTAGAGGGAAAGGCTGGCCACCAGCAGCGATGGTACTCGTGGGCAATGGCAACAAACAATGCGTGATGTAATGTGGGGAGACGAAGCTGAGGCGCTAGCTAGCCTTCAGATCCATGGCATCAAAGGCAGACAAAGGGACGACTTCTGCGTACTGAACAATGCGACTTCGGTCGATAATGCGAAGACGAACTACTATTGACACAAAAAATGGTGAGGAATGGAGGGATGTTCCCAGAAGATCGATCCTCTTGAGGCAGAGGCGATGGAAGCATGAGAGCTAGGGGAAGATGGGTATTGTGTAATCAGATTGATTATCTTATGCTTCTGAAGCTAGTATAAATAATGAACCAAGGATGGGATTGAAAATAATTAAGGGCTACATACACAAATCGATCCTATCCTAATATTCCTGTAACTACCATCTGATTTTCATCCTAATGATATTTAATGTGTACTCCTGATTGTACCGTGCTTTGCAGCAGAATGTCTAGATAAATGTACTACAAGATATGTGTGGCTTTTTGACGTATTTAATATGACACAGGCCATAATGTCACTGTATCATCTAATTTATGACATTTTATTTCAGGCATTTCAACTTAATGACAATAAAAAGTTGTGTATCACAATAAATGTCATATAGCTAGTCTAATGTCATCCAGTGAGAATATTTGCTATGTCATAAGACCTATTTGTGTGTCACAAATTATTTATTGTATTATTTTAAATATTTTTGTCCATGTAGGCAACCCTTATTGCCACATCAGATTTTTTTAATTATTTCTTTTAATAATTTGTTTTTTGGGTTCTAATTGGGCCACCTATAGAAGCCTAAACAGGCTGCACCCACAGATGGGCCAACGTGGTGCTAGCCTAACAGCCTAACTCAGCAAATTGCTGGCTCGGCCTGACTCAGCAAAATTTCTTAAAAAAATATTGGCGCTGGGAATCAAACCCACCACATTCTGTTTCAGGGGCAATGTGCAAACCACTGAGCTACACATGATGTGTTTCTTAGATGTTGCATATTATTTTATATATCACGTTTATATCCTCTAAAGAAACTAACCGAACAGGCCTCCAACCTTCCCACTTGAGTCTATACCGCAGTCCTCGCAAGTCCAATCTCCGCCTCCGCCGCCGCTGTGCGGCTCCGTCATCATCGGGAGCGTCACCGAAGCGCCGTGGTGCTCCTCCTCGTTGAGTGCAGTTTTGCCGGAAATATTTTTGTAATATTTTACGTGGTCTAAATTATTCTCTAAAATTTTTCGTAAATTTTAAGAGCTCAATAACTAATTTAATTACCACAAAGTTAATTTAACCTATTAAAATAAATAGAAAACAAATTAAAATCACTCTCTTTGTCCTTGGGCCTTTTTCGGCCAAAGTATTACTCTCTCCATCTCTCAGCCCGCTTCTCTTTCCCTCCTTGGGCCAGCTTCCCCTTCCCCTCCTCCCTTTTGGGCCGCCGGCCTAACCCTTTTGCTCCTCCCTCGGCAAAAAGTCCATTTTGCGTCCTTCCTCTCCATTTAAATAATTTTTCAGTTAGTAAATGATTGCAAATGAAAAAATTGTCAACAACAAAGTTGTATAACTTATCAAGATCTACAACTTTTGTTTTGGTTATTTTGAAAAATGACTTTGTTTTAATAATTTAAATTTGAATTTCAAATTATGACAACTTCAAACAACATTTTCAAGTACTAAATGATTTAAACTGAGAACATCATCCCCAACAAAGTTGCATAACTCATCAATATGTACGGCTTTTGTTTTGGTTATTTTGCTATATGACTTTGTTTCAACAATTTGAATTTGAATTTCAAATTATGACAACTTGAAACAACATTTTCAAGTAATAAATGATTTCAAATGAAAAAGTCATCAACAACAAAGTTGTATAACTCATCAAAATCTATAACTTTTATTTTGGTCATTTCTTCATCCGATAAAGTGATAGTAACATTGTTCACAAAATTTACATATCTCCCTAATAGCTTATAAACTATATAAGAGATATGTACATTTTGTGAATAATGTTACAAATCATATTGTCGAATGAAGAAATAACCCAAATAAAAGTTATAGATCTTGATGAGTTATGCCACTTTGTTATTGATGACTTTTTCAGTTGAAATCATTTAGTATTTGTAAATGTTGTTTGAAGTTGTCATAATTTGAAATTCAAATTCAAAACTGTTCAAACAAAGTCATATAGAAAAATGACCAAAACAAAAGTTGTAGATCTTGATAAGTTATACAACTTTTCTGTTGACAACTTTCCCATTTGAAATCATTTACTACCCGAAAAATTATTTGAATTTCTTATATTTTAAAATTCAAATTTTATATAGTTCAATCAAACTCGGATAGAGAAATGACCAAAAGAAAATTGGTAGATCTCAATGAGTTCTACAACTTTGTTTTTGACAACTTTTTTACATGTGTTCATTTAGTATCATAAAATTCGATTCGAAATTATGTTTTGCATAGAAGTCTGATTTGCCTCCTCTCCCTCCTCCCCACTTCAAGATTTTCACCAACCTTATCTTCTTCTCCTCAGTCCTCACCTCTCCTCTCCTCTCAGTCTCCCGCTTTTTCTCCTCTCCTCTCTCTCTCTCTCACACTGACGACGGCGAGGGCGGGAGCGGCGCGGTGCGCTCGGGTGGGGCCGGTCGACGTCTGCAGCGGCCACAGCGGTGGGCGGGAGCGGCGCGGCAACGGCGGGCTCGACGGCCGGCGCCCTCCTCCTCCCAGATCCAGCGGCGGCGCGCTTGGGAGGGGCCGGGAGCGGCCACGGCGGGCGGCGGGAGCGGCGCGGCAGTCCGCTCAATCCCTCATCTTCTTCTGTCCTCACGGCCTCCACTTTCTGCTTCGCCTCATCCAGTCCGCTTCCTCCCCACATGCCGTTTCCTCTTTCCCATGGACTGCGTCGGAGAAATTGCCGAACGTGAAGAGTTTGGGTAGCTCAATGGGTGGGGAGCATCGCAGCAGCGGCGGGAGCCCCCGATCCGTCGAGATCCAGCGCGGGGAGAGGGTGTGGGACGCGAGTACACCGACGACGATGGACGCCGTCGAGGAGCTCACGCAGCTGTCGGAGTCGATGCGCCAGGTGGCGTCGCTGCTGGCCGACGACGACCCCTGTGACGACTCCGCCCCACGCCGCCTCTCCACCTTCGTCAACGCCGTCGCGCTCGGCAACGTTGTAAGTATAGGCCACCGCCACCGCGATCTGCCCGCTCGCTCTCTCGTGTGCTCGCCCGATCTGATCCAGTTCTGATCTGCTCGTGCAAGGGGCGGGCAAGATGGCCGTGCTGAACAGCCTCATCGGCCACCCCATGCTGGTGAGCTCGTACTAATGGCCACCACCTTGCCCTTCTCCGCTTACAGCCGCGCACCCACCCACTGTAGCACACGGGGTGTGGGGAGCAGGTGATAGGTGAGGCGAGCAACCTCCTCCATGGCGCCGCCCCAGTGCCGATGAGCAGCGTCGTCCCTGCTGTTTGAGGTATTTTTCTACTGCTTAATCCGGATTTGCCTTGGTGGCACTGTTGGTTGCATCTTGGAGGGAGGGTCTGGTCACAAAATTGGTTCTTGGGGATTTTGCATGCATGCAGTGCTGATGAGATGGATGTGGCTGGATGTTGTTGGTGTGCGGTTGCTCCTATGCGGGAAGAGCTGCCAGCTGCAGTGGATGAAAGTAATATATGTGATAATTTACATTAGTTTGTTCCCTCCGGCACATGACTAAGTGATTGAGTACTGTAGTAGTATCACTTCTTGTTGGTGTCAGATTATATGTTTTTGCTAAATCTAAATTAACTATAGGATTGATCAACTTTGACTCTGTGAGTGTACAGTTTGTAGGTTTAAACATTATAGTCCCAAGTGTAAAAATATGGTTTTGTTCAGAATTTTACTTGCTCACATAAATTTCGATTATGCACTTCAGATTTCTGACTTCACTTTTCCTGACCTGGGTTCCGATTATTTTGCTTTCTAGTAGTGATCATTTAGCTGGGCATGCACATGTCAGAGAAATAGAATATCAAATGATCTGTTTTGTTTGTGGATGGATTAAGCTATTTCCAGAAGTGTAGTAATCTTTTGTGCATATGGAGACAACCATCAATCATAAATTTTTGGTTTGTATGCAGAATCCATTTCGCTTATCGTTCACAAGAATTAACAATGCTTATCCCTATAGGTTGGTTGCAATGTTATGAATGAAATAGCCAAATCAGCTTTAAAGTCTGACTACAACAACTTGTAAAAAACTTATTTTATTACTTCCTTGAGGAATATTTCATTGCAATATGATGCTTTGCAGAATATCCATGCAATTTTCGGCTTGCTAAATGGTGAAACAATTAGAGGACCAGAAAGAGGCAGCAAGGAAGAATGAAGAAGAAACTGAGAAGCTGAGGCAGCAAGGAAGTGAAATCCAAAGCTTCGTTCGCTCCTTGATTGGCAGCAAGTTTGCATCATTAGATGCTCAGCAGTAAGCTCTCATACTCAATTAGGTTCCAGATGATATTTTGGTGACACTGAACTTGCGACCATTGTGATTGTGAGATGTTATTTTGGTGCTGTTGTGCTTCTGGCCGTTGTGCTGTTGCTGTTGTGCTTTTGGTCATTGCGATGCTGATGCTGTGAAGCTATTGCAGATGTGCTGCTGTTGCTCTCGATGTAGGAGGAAGATGAAATTTGAGACTTTGGATATGTATTGAATTAGTGGATGGATGTACTGATATTGCATTTTCAGACTTGTGGAGTGTGAAATGCATATGACATTGCAATCATTTGTGGAATGTTAATTCATTTGAATCTGATTTTGTATGTGCAGAAATATTGTATCTGGGCTGAATTGTATGGGCTGAAAAAATCAGTTGAGTTGTGTGGGCTGAAAAAATTATATGGGCTGGAAAAATATATGGGCTAAATTGTAGGGGTTGGAAAAATCATATGGGCTGAATTATGCAGGCTGAATTGGTGTGGGCTGAAAATTTGTACAGGCTGCACTCATTAAAAAGAAGCAAATAATATGTTGGGCCAGCTAGAAACAACCCTAGAAAAAATATATTTGTGGCCCATGAGCTACATGGGCTTTAGCAGGCCGAATCTTATTTTGTGACCTTTTTTTTTCAACCATGTCAACTGCCAAGTCAGCTGTCACGTGGCAAGCCCCAGGATTTTGTGACAATAAAGCAATGTCATATGCTTGCTTGTGATAATAGATGTACAAACGTCACATACTAAATTTGTGACGGTGGCTTTTTGACGTTTGAAATTACGTCAACTATTTGTCACAAATCGTAATTTTTGACATAAATTTCACATATTATGACATAATAAAATGTCAAAAAGCCACACACCTCTTGTAGTGTGTATGCTATTTTTTTTTGTTGAAATGATGGATGGATATATATTCAAATAATATGAAAATAATGTTTAAGATGATGATTGACATACTTATATTTTAAACTCCATGCTATAATAAATTGTAAATAATGTGTCATGTTTATATGAGTTCTAAGGCTATGTTCGGCACTGCCTGTTCCCATCCTCTTCTCCTAGTTTTCCACGCGCACGCTTCCCAAACTGCTGAACGGTGTATATTTTTTAAATATTCTATATAGGAAAGTTGCTTTAAAAAATCATACTAATTAACCCATTTTTAAAGTTTTTTAGCTAATATTTAATTAATCGTGTACTAATCTATCGCTCTGTTTTCCGTGCAGGAGGTGAGGGTTCCCAACCCTCACCCGAGAACATAGCCTAAGATAGCTAGTGAGTAATGATGTGGCATATTTATTGGATCTATCAAGCACCCTGTTGTTCTGTGTTACATAGAAATTATGCAACAACTAATTACAAAAAGAAAAAGGAAGAAAGGAGCAATACCACGTGATTCCCAAGCTCTAGGACATTATATATATGTTTCCACGATACGTATGATTCATGAAAATTGTTTCAATAATCCCTGTATATATCCTTCGGATTAGCTGTCTAAGTCGATTATGCAGAGTAGTACAATATTGGTTCCAAACGTACGGATCAATATAAAATTCCAACGGAAACAAGAAACATCCATTTGCTTGGAACGGTTTTGTTTCCCAAATCTTGGTGCACATTGGTAAACATATGTTTTGCTCCTTGGAACAATAAAATATATGTGAAATCCAATCATGCGGGTCATATGGTTATTGTGCAGATCGCTGGTAATTCAGACAAGAATCATTTCTAAGTACGAGTTGTCAGTTCGCATGCATGTGCTCATCTTTTAAAATAAAATCATATATTAAAGAAATGTAACTTATGTATACTCTTGCGAAATTTTAACTTTTACAGTACAAAGTTTACTTAACCTATCAAAATTTTAATTTGTCAGTCAAGTTAACCATTGCGGTTTAGCTATACCATGGCGAAATTTAGGTGCGACATGTTTCACAATAACCATAATGCTTCTAGGTTTTTTTTTTCATCACAAAGCGATTCTTTACAAAAAAAAATAGTTTATTGCAATTCATGGAATTAATGCTAAAAAATGAATGATGCGGAAGAATACAACGAATGCATGCATTAACTAAATTATCAAGTTCGCAGCCCTCTACGTACGGATATAAATTAATATAACCTATATTATTCGTTCATTTTCAATCATAGGCATCGCAAAAACAAATTTTCAAATCACTTTCCCATACCTTTTCCATATCTTTAAGCATGCCTAAATAATTATATCTCTGCTCACACTATAGAGATTGTGCACACTTCTTTCTTCTTTTCGAGAAACATATTACAAATGAAAACGCTCTCTCCCCCTTGTGAAGGTACACACAAACACCCTAGCTATGTAAGCACTTTCAAAGGACTGCACCAGTACATCTCAACAAAGTCACCATGGGCTATGAACACACACGCGCATACTCTGTATCTCTAACCACTTTCAAAACACCAAGTTGGTATATCTTAACAAAGTCATCACAGACGTCTCGTTATCGACGGGAATGCCACCTACCACTAAAAGAATAGTTAGCCATAAATACAAGCAATTGTGTTAATTTTAGGATTTGAACTCGGGTAGGCTAGTTCCACGGTAAGGAATCTAACCAGTTAAGCTACGCTCACTTTGTGCACACTTTTCATTTATGATATAATAAAAATAAAACTTTTTTGATGCCAATACCAATATCTACTCGTATATACTCGCTTTTTTCCATAATAGAAGCATGGAACCAATCTTTTCCTTTTGTCAGAATTTGAATTTTGATTTTTTTCACTTAATTGTCTGAAAATTTATGGATTTTGTGCACTCGAATCAGTCCACAGCAATTCTTAAATTATGGTACAACCTTTATCCTACTAATGCTTATTAAATTATGAAACAGATGGAGTATAAAACAACAATTTTCACTACCTCTCCCTCATTTACGACGCTACACTCTCTTATTCACTACAAGAAAACATAATATCTTCGGCGATCGAAATCCGCCAAGTATAGTGTCGTAGGCTCTCCGGACTTTCCATTATATTTGAGAGATGAAGTGAATAATTTAAGTCATCAAACAAATATAATGAAATATCCGACGCCTCGAAAGAAGAACATTGGAGACATTGCTGAGCCTTTAGCCTGCCAATCAACTTCAGCCTGAGATGTGCCCGTCAAACCGCTCAAAGGCGGCGACCAGATATATTACACATTCAGGAGACTTGACAAAATGGCAAAAGATCTACAATATCTCAAATATTCTTAACTCATACTCATGTGAATCTAGTTCCCATGATGTGCACTAGATTCATACTTTCATCTTAAGCATGAATATACATAGCAAAATACATTTAAGATGAAAGGGATCACAAATTACAACCACTTAATAGATACATGTGCCGACTGACCAAATATAGATATATCAGAGAACAACGGAAGCTTGACTACCCAAACACAAGCACACCGACTAGGGGTTTACCCTATTAAGTTCAAGTTCTAGAAGAAGCAGACGAAAGCCTGCTTCACTCAACGTAATCTAAACATACAACCTGCACAAATAGATATTTCAACATAGCAAGAGTCAGTACATTATTAGAAATAATGTGTACTGGCAAGCCAAAATCAATCCTAACATGCTACATGTAAGGCATCTATTCAAAGGAGGGCAATATGTGTTTGATTTCAGCATAAAGTAAGTTTTGTTTCACAATTCTTTTGTAAAGGAGTTGATGATTCAGTTAACAAAATATTTTTGTAAGTTCATCATAAATATCGTTATATCATCATAAGCATACTCTTGTTGTCTTCCTTGGAAACAAGTCATATAATCATTATTACACTCACACAACTCAACACATTTCACCCATTCCAAATCCATGTTTCATAACACAGTTTAAAAACATAAGTCTATACTCATGACACTTCACCAAGCGCTCATGACTGTGAGTACGGCTAGTCGATTAGTTTTTATAACTCAACAGAGTTTGTACAGCTTTACCCACATGATATGATTTTCTCTAGTTTGTCCGGTACCCGTCGGTACCTGTTGATGTGAAAAACACACACTAGCCTGAGAGATTTGCTTTACTCTAGTGCAGGTCTAAAGATTTGTTTTCGGGTTTAGGGCATGCCAGTTGGTTTGATCCTGCAACCAACAAGAAACAAAGAATACAAAGTTAAAACCATAAACGATAGCCAATCGGCCGGATTGCCGATGACGTATCGTTTAATACTGAGCCGATGTAACATGGATCAGATCGGCAGTGAAGTATATAACAAATAAAGAATTGGATCTACTCGATCGGCTGTAAATATCAATGATATATAATCTATGCTTCGAAATATTTTTAAACTAAGTGATTGGGATAGATCGGACAGCGTGCCAAGACAGTATAAATCACTTATATCTAAAAGTACTTCAGAGCAAAGATTATATATATTCATAGCATAGCCGATAGGCAAATCTATTATGTATCAACTAGTACTCCGGTACCGCTTTATACTAAGGTATCAATATAGATTAAATATACTAAACAGGAATCAATCTAATATCAGGATAACCTAACAAATCGATAACAAGCTTAATATATTTTATCCAAGTGAGATCTTAATATAAAAGGCAGATTTAGCACATCAAGTAAACGTATGAGGAACGAGATGACTAAACCAGCTAAGATCGGCTGAAACCCCGATGCTACTATTAGCAATCATAAAACAAGCTAGATATTACGATTCTAGATATTACTTAATAGATCAAACTTAACTGATGCAGCATTAAGCATAAAGAGAAATATAAGATCTAAACAAGTCTATGAGAGCCTTTTTGAGATGGTGGATATACTATATAATCTAATTCAATGTTAGTATCTAATTCTATCGGCTGTTTTCGATGATAGAGGCTAGCCAATGAGGTTAGATAGCAATATCGATCTAGATTATATAGTATATACAATAACTCGACAATTTACATAAACAGGATTAGAGTGTCATAAAGATGTAAGCACAAATCCCGAGAACGCAAGCCGCCACAACAAGCTTTACCTTTTCGGCGGAGATCAAAACCAATGCAGTCCAACTCGAAAGTAAGAACTCGTCGAAACAAGATATCGGGTGGCGATTGTCACACCCTGAAAATTCAAATATTATAAATTGTTGTTTAAATGGAATTTCTAGAATTTGTTTTAAAAGTCTTGAAAAGAAAATCTAAGTTTAATTAATAAATTCCAATATAAAAAGTGGCCAGATAAAATTTCATTAAATACTTTGCTTAATTCTATAATTCCTAGATTTTTCTGGGATTTATTTGAGCTAAGGAAGTATTTTTAATAAATGGAATTGCATTTAAGGAATAATTTAAATTG